TCCACGGGTTGTACAGGAAGTGTGGCTGGAGAAGCCGGAGGAAACTTACAAGCATGGTGGAAAGTGAAGGAGAAGCTGGCACGTCTTACATGGCTGGAGTAGGAGGAAGAGAGAGTGAAGCAGGGGGTGCTACACTTTTAAACAACCAGATCTCATGAGGACTGACTCACTACCATAAGAAATAGATGGGAAAAATCCACCCTCATGTTCAAATTAACTCCCACCAGGTCCCTCTTCTAACATTAGGGATTACAATTTGATGTGAGATTTGGGAGGAAACACAGACCCAAAGCATATCAGTGGGGGAAGAAAACCATACTCAGTAAATGGTGCTGGGAACACTGACAAGTCACATGTAGAAGAATGAAACTGGATTTTCATCTCTCATCTTATACAAAAATCAACTCAAGGTAGATCAAAGACTTAAATCTAAGACATGAAGACATTAGAATTCAAGAAGATAACATTGAAAAAACTCTTCTAGACATTGGCTTAGGTAAAGAATTCACATTTATGAACCCAAAAGCAAATGCAACAAAAATAAATAAATGAGATCTATTTAAATAAACTAAATATCTTCTGTACAACAAAAGAAATAATCAGCAGAGTAAATAGACCACTCACAGAGTGGGAAACAAAATATTCACAAACTATGCATCCGACAAAAGACTAAGATCCAAAATCCACAAAGAATTCGAAAAAATCAACAACAACAAAAAAATCACATCAAAAAGCGGGCTAAGGACATGAATAGACAATTCTCAAAAGAAGATATACAAATGGCTAACAAACACATGAAAACTTGCTCAGCATCACTAATTATTAGGGAAATGCAAATCAAAACAACAATGCAATACCACCTCACTCCTGCAAGAATGGCCATAATTAAAAATAACAAATAAAAAAAGATTTCGGCATGGAGGAGGTGATCAGGAAATACTTCTATGCTGCTGTTGGGAATGTAAACTAGTATGGCTGCTATGGAAAACAGCGTGGAGATTTTTTAAAAAACTAAAAGTAGAACTACAATTTGATCCAGCAATTCCACTACTGGGTATCTACCCAGAGGACAAGAAGTTAATATTCAAAAAGAATACTTGTACATGCATGTTTCTAGTGGCACAATTCACAATAGCAAAATAGTGGAGCCAACACAAATGTCCATCAATCAATGAATGGATTTTTAAAAAGTTTTATATATATATATTTATATATATATATACACACACACACACATTCCATTGTATATATACACATACACACACACACACACATATATATATACAATGGAATACTGTGCAACCACAAAAAGAAATGGATCATCAGCATTTCCAGTAACCTGGATGAGATTGGAGACTATTATTTTAAGTGAAGTAATTCAGGAATGGAAAACAAATATCATATGTTCTCAATGATATGTGGGAGCTAACCTATGAGGACACAAAGGCATAAAAATAATATGATGGGCTTTGGGGACTTGGGGGGAAGAGTGAGAGGGGGATGAGGTTATCCGATAAAATACTACAAATATGATGCAGTATATACTGCTTGGGTGATGGGTGCACTAAAATGTCACAAATCACCAATAAAGAAATTACTTATGTAACCAAATACAATCTGTATCACAATAACATGGGAAAAAATAAACTAAACTAATGAGTTTTAAAAAGTAAAAATAAAATAAAATATCAGTACAAAGACAAAAATATATACAAACTGCCAATAAACATATGAAAAAAATGTTCAACATCACTAATCATCAGGGAAATGCAAAATAAAACCATAATACCAGAGACATGGAATCAACCTAAGTGCCATCAATTACAGATTGAATACAGAAAATGTGGTACATATACACCATGGAATACTATGCAGCCATAAAAAAGAACAAGGTCATGTCTTTTGAGGGAACATAGATGGAGCTAGAGGCCATTATCCTTAGCAAATTAATGCAGGACCAGAAGAAAAATACTTCATGTTCTCACTTATAAGTGGAAGCTAAACGATGAGAGCTCATAAACACAAAGAAGTAAATGACAAACACTGGGGCCTATTTGAGAGTGGAGGGTGAGAAGAGGGAGAAGAGCAGAAAAAATAACTACTTTTTACTTTGCTGTGTACCTGGATAGTGAAATAATCTGTACAACAAACACCCGTGACAAGGGGTTTACCTACACAACAAACCTGCACATGTACACTTGAACTTGAAAGAAAAGTTAAAGAATGGTGAAAATAAATAAATTGGGGAAAATTTTTTTAATTTTCCTTTTTATTCCATCTTCTTGGGCCCCTCACTTGCAAATAGAGGCCCACATACACGAATGTTTAGCACCATCACAGATGGCATCCCAGAGGAATCGCAACGCTGACAGAGTTAGACATCAAGGACATTATTATCACAGAGTATATTTATTATTTGAGGGCTTCAGTTATAACTGGAAAGACCAAAAAACCTTTGAGATGAGGAGGCTTTAGAGTTCATTAAAGAGTTTCTGCTTTTTGAGCACTCTCAAATTTGCTGGGAGAAGACAATGAATTTTGATTGAGCAGGAGGAGGAAAGATGTTGAGTAGATTTTCAGAGGCAATTCAAAAATTATCAGTTGAACATTCACCTTGGACTCTATGTAATCTCTTTGTATGTGAGATGTCATTCCTGGCCACCATGAGCACAGAGTAGCAGCTGAATAAAGATGAATGTAACGAATGACCTTCAGGAAGTGCATTGAGCTGGTGAATATCATTCAAGAAAGGGCAGTCACTGTGTGTTTGCCTGGCAGGGCCGGCATGTAAAATTATCTCGGTTATTCAAATAAAATGACTGCCGGGCAAGCAGCAAGTCGATGTGAAATCCAAGTCATTTTCTGCTCATTAAGCTAGTGGTTTCAGGATAGTTTTCATCCACTCACAGCACAAATTACATAATTCCCCAAAAAAATGAATTCCGTGGTGGTGATGGGGCCTATAATCCATTATCAAAATAGAGAAGTGATCAAGACTGTGAAACGGAAGGTGTAAGGAGGAGAGTGTACCTAATCAGAACCCAAGAGTTTCCAGTGAGAGGGGAGGGAATTTCATTCCATACTGGAAAGAAACAGGAAGAGAGGCATGAAGAGTGTCATTCACTGTGCGTTAGCATCTCAAGGTATCTGGATGTTAGGTTAAAGGAAGGGTAAGGAGAGAGGCATACCCATGAGTGAGGTTGGAGTTGCAGAAACTGTTGCAATGAACATGGGGAGAGACAATGAGAATGATTAAAATGACACCTGAGATGGCCCTTGCAAACCGAGAGGCTATTTAGTGGGACTCTCTTCAATCTGCCTTCATTGATTTTTAAATAATATGTTGTTTCTCTTCTCCTAAGTTGTTCTCCATACATGCTATGAAGCAGATAATCACAGCTCTTCTATTGGGGAAAGGTCTGTCATTCTGCCATCTTGGTAGGAACTCCAAGAAGCTGAGAATGGAGGGTGAGGACAAGTGCTACAGAGAAACATTCCCAGAGAAAATGAAAATAGCTGTCTGGTTGGTTTCACCAGTGATATGGATTAGTGAGTGCTGTCTATTTTATTTTGCCCCTCTAAAGTAGGTGTGTTCATTGCCTTTTTCCTGTCTCTTTTTGTCTTTTTGGTTTCATTTGTATAAAGCAGATGGTATGTCCCTTTGGTGCACATGTTGAGAGAGATTGCAAGTGACAATTTTTAGTCACCTGATAGACACCATATCCTGATTAGATAAGATACTGCACTTCACTCTGAGCCTGTTCCTGTTGTAGTATTGCCTTCAGAGATCCCTTACAGGGTTAGTGTTGTTGGTATGTGGGAAGTATATAAGCCAGTAACTACTGAATGGAACTAGTTGCCAAGGATGGCCCCTCATGACTACAGTCACAATAACCACAGCTTGTGGAGTCCTCTCCTTTTGATTAGGGGTGTCTATGTGACTCACCATGGTCAATGTAAGGCTATAGAAGTGACACTGTCTGCCGTTCAAAGGTAGGTCTTATAATGCCATGCACTGTTTCCATGAGCCTTTTGAAAGGCTTTCTTTGCTGAAAGCCAATCACCATTCATTAAGTCCAAGAACCATGAGACTCTCCTGATTTGAACATATTCAAGGCATGAATGGAAAGGTGTGGTAGTGAAAGAAATAACCATCCAGTTTCTAGGTGTTCACTCAGCCCTAGTGTTGACTTGGACATGAGTGAAGCATCCTCTGAAATCCCAGGCTAAAAGATTTCTCTAAAAACATGACTCCCATCACATGACCTACCACTCACATGAGTTCAATAAACCTGTAAAGCTGGGAGAGATCAAAATAAATGATTGATTTTAGTCAATATGTGTTGGGAGGTTTGTTATGCTACAATTTGTCACTGGAACAGCAGTAAAGCAGGGTCTGTTCACTGTGACCATGTGCATGAACTATGTCTATTCCAATAATAATCTACATGTTCTCTGATCTAAAACCATGACCATTTACTTCCAAAGAGAAACCTCTGGATTCTGCACACAAAAAATGGAAAAATCTTTGAATATTTGGAAATAAGAATAATTGGGATTCTTTAAGGAAAACACTGGGCTCCAGCATTTCCCTACTACTTAGATTGAAAACTTCACAATGTGCCTACACAATAAGCATCCTGAGAACAATAAAAAAATATTAAGGAATGCCATATGATTTTCCTCAAGTTACAGCTTCTGCCCGAAGCCACTAGGTACACCTATGTGGCTGTAAGCAGCTACCTAACATTTCAGTGCAGTGAGTCATCTGACATTGGGTAAGGATTTTGGTTCAGACTGTCTGACGTCAACAACATACTATAGAAGGATGTTGTTTCTAATGTCTTCTGAGACATTCCAGGAACCTTGTCACTCACTCCCTTTGTCACAGGAAGGTTTATCCCCTTTGATTTCCTGATGCCTCCCATAGAATGCCCTGGCCCTTCTTGGGGATGACCACTTCCTCTTTTCCCCTCTTAAAGCAAGAACCAATCATGTGGGGTTTGGTGCTGTTTTAATGATCCAGTGTAGGGGAAAGGGTGAGTAGGGATTATTCTGTTAGCAGGCTCTGGGAATCCCATGGTCAGGTAGAAAGTGGGATTCCTCAACAATGAGGAGTCTGATCATCTCCCTCAATCGCTGATAAGCACTCTGGTCAGGGAGATATCTCTCAACACTTGCAGCATCTTCACAGATGCTGGCGGGAATCGATGGGCAAAGTTGTAAATGCGTTGGCCATTTACCATTACCTACAAGAGGAAAAATGCATCAGAAAGACAGTATGCACCAAACAGGTTTTCAGCCCTTTCTCCTTTCTGACCTAGTACAAATAACCTTCCCCACGAAAACTCCTAGTTACACAAAAGTGAACCTAGTAGACACATTTCTGTTTGCAGGCTACATTTTGTGCCTATTTGAGACAGCTGCTCATTTTGTTTCTAACGTTTTCTCTCATTCCCCTAGTGAAGTTATACACCATGTCACACAGTCCCTGTTTACTCAGCCTCCCTTCCAACCTGGAAGATCCCCATCACCAGGGACTGTGTCTCAGGAACTTGAGACCCTGCATCTCACACAGGACCTGCCACAGGGTTACTACTAGATCATGTTCATTGAGTACATACTTTTCAGTTCCATGAACTGTGACTGCCTTTTACTACTGATGGCACAGTTCCTCTTTGGAGTAGCCTACATCTGAGATGGTAGTGGCAAAGAATGAAACCCAGGATTCTTAGAGAGTTAAGGGAGGACAGGTCTTGTAAAACATAGGATATTATCTTCAACAACTTTTAAGCATAGGGAAAGATCCCTCACTTGACTCTGAATAAGATGTGAATCTTTTGGCCTATTCATTAGAGAAAACCAAAAAGTATGGATATATTCCTTATATTCAGGCTATAGAGAAAGTCACCTTCTTAATGTACATTTTTCAAATTTAAAATTTACACATTTTTGAGCTGGTTTTTTCATTTTTTTTCTAATTATCTTCCAGTATAAGTATTGGGAAATTAGTAATGACAAGAGGATTGACTATAAAACTTAATACAGCATCATATGTGAGAGCAAAATACTGGAAAAAACTTTAATGCCCAAAAAAGGGTCAAGTTCAATAATTTTGGGTAAACTTTTTAATGGAATATTATGCAATCTTTAAAAAGTGAAGTGGCACCATGGATTGATAGTGCCTTCAAGATATATTCTTTGTCAACAAATCAACTTAATTCCTGAAGTGTAATGTGTAGAGCAACTTATACTGGAATTTGCTTAGAAACAAATGAAATCATAGACATAGCTATATCCATCCATAGGCAAAGATTTCCTCTGAAAGGCTGGGCACAGTGGCTTATGCCAGTAATCCCAGTATTTTGGGAGGCCAAGGTGAGCAAATCACGCAAGGTTGGGAGTTCAAGACAAGCCTGGCCAACATGGTGAAACTCTGCTTCTACTAAAAATACAAAAGTTAGCCAGGTGTGATGGCATGCACCTGTAATTCCAGCTATTGGGAGGCTAAAGCAAGATAATCGCTTGAATCTGGGTGGTGGAGTTTGCAATGAGCTGTGATCACACCACCGTACTCCAACCTGGATGACAAAGTGAGACTGTCTCAAAAATTTTTTTTAAAAAAAGATTCTTTCTGAAGAAGAGCAGAACTCTAGTAATGCTGTTCTTATGAGTAGAATTGGGGCCCAAAAGTTAGACAAAGACATAATTTTTGAATGACTAAAACCACCTTTTTCTTAAGTATATTGTATACATTCAGCTAAATGAAAATTTAAAGAATGGCATAAGTAGAAATGAGCACTATGGGAAAAGACAGGAGATTCTCCACTTTGGGGGAAATGGCAGGTGAGCCGATCTTGATGTTGGTCAGATTTTGGAAAGAGCGGAGGATGGCAGTGCAAGCAGAGGGTGCTCTGTGACGAAAACCTAAAACAGGAGTAGTTATGGAAGATGGGCCCCGAGGGACTGGTGGCACCAGGTCAACGAAAGCTGCCTCCTCTAGGAGCCCACAAAGCTCCAGTGCTGGAAGCTCCTGAGGTACTCACCTTGTATTCTTTGTGACGCACATAGATGCACAGCTCAAATGGTTTGCCATCTTCAAAGGGCAAATAGTAGCATTTCTCCTCGTACCTCCATATGCCAAACACACGACTGTTCATGACTGCAGGATGACCAAAGTGCAGTCGGAATTGGAAAGCAATATCTGAGTCCTCATCCGTCCCAGTGTAGAAATTCACCTCCAGCTGTGGGTCCTTGCTGAGGTCAAAGCACACAGCACATTGGGCAGGTTCCTTCATAGTGCAGACACACACTCAACACACACACACATCCCTTCCCCCCTTTACCCAGGGAAGAAGTCTCCCTGATGATACTGCAGTCCTGGTCCCTGTGGGGATGCTTCAGCTCCTCGTGCTCCCAGGCAGAGAGATGCTGTACTCCTCATCCCCAGACAAAAACTGAGCACCAGTCAGGGACCTGGGCCTACGACCTGTTCATTTCCTGGAAATTCTATGCCCTTTAATAAAGAGCCACGGCCCCAACCCACTGAGTGTCCTCCTCCCCTAGTCCCCATGGCTGGCCCACATGCAGTTGCTGCAGGTCTCATGCCTGGTGCTGGAGGGTCTCCAGGGTGTGCACTTGCATGAGGTCTTCATTATGCCAACTAGACATTTCCACATCACTCACACATAAGGTCACACCCTTAGCAAATATTCCCCCTTCTCTCCTCCACCCCCTCCATTGGATCATGGAGTACTCACACAAAAGTGAGGATCGGTGTCCCTGTGATTATCACGCAGGAACCAACAGACAAGGAAACAGGCAGTGTGTATGGTACCTGCCAGGGTATTGAGAGTGATTGAGAGGTAAAGGGTCAGCCTCCCCTATTGTAACAGATTCCCATGGTGCAGGAGGTTAGAGATCACAGGGCAGACTCTGAGGCCTCTCCCCTTTCACCCTACCACAGTCAGGACCCCATATTCTTGAAGATATGGTAGACCCATAGGTAGGAGCAATTGTTCAAGAGCCAGGCGTCCTGGATTCCAGTCCTCATTCTGCCGCTTACTAGCAGTGCAATCTTAGATCTATTACTTAACCCTCCCTGCCTCGGTTTCCCCAGAACAAGGAGGATTGTCAGTAATTCCTACTTTGTAGGGTGTTCTCAGTAACGGAGGAGTTAATATATGTAAAACTTCTACTCTAATCCCTGGCATGTGTAGGGTCTGTTAGGGGAGTCTTCCTGGGACATTGACCTGCCTTATTTTCAACTCTGAAAATGAAAACAAGACTTGAGGGTGAAAGAATTTAGAAATTCAGTCCAGTGAGAAACAACACTTGTTGAAAAAGAGAGAAATGATGAAAGAACAGGAAACCCCTGTGTGTGGGAGGCAAATGCATCACAATCATCAAGGGCAATGGACGTCCTTCCCAGAAGGGGACACATTGCTGACAGCGCAGCCTCAGTACTTGCACATATGAAGCCTGTGGGTCAGGGACATAACTAGAGGGAACGATTGATTTCCACGACTACTACAAGTGGTTGATGATTTTTCCATATTTTTGAGATAGGGTCTTGCTTTGTCACCCAGGCTGACATGCAGTGGTGCAATCACAGCTCACTGAAACGTCGAATTCCTGGGCTGCAGTGATCCTCACACATCTGCCCCCTCTTGTGTAGCTGGGGCGAAAGGTGCCTGCCCCTCTGACAGTCTGATATTTAAAGGTTTTCAAAGAAAGGGTCTCACTATGATGCCCAGACTGGTCTCAAACTTCTGGCCTCAAGTTACCCTCCCATCTTTGCCTCCCAAATTGGTGGGGTGATGGCCATGAGCCAGTGAACCCAGCTGCTTTGTTGAGTAACATTCACAGTAAACTCTGTCTGAATTCAAACAGAGCTTTTTCTTTCATGAGTGGAGGAACAAGTTTAGTTTCAGTTCAGACAGAGCTTACCGTGAATATTTCGCGTGGTTCAGTCACTGAAACCATGGCCTCTAATATTCTTCCCTGGCAAATCAGTGTCTGAACACTCTCCTGTTCCACAATGGGAAGAACAGGCTGAGCTGGGGCAAGGAAGCTGAGCTTGGGAAGCCAAAGCCAGTGGTCACTCTGTGCAGTCCCCACCTGAGGAACCATCACCCCCATAGTCTGCATTGCTCTTCCCTACTCTTACTGGGAAGACATCTACTGATGCTACATTTCGCTCTCATAAGTGACCTGAAACTAGTCCTTGGTAACTCACAATCCCCAAGATCCCTACCAGTTAAGCCATCTGGGATCCACATTGCCACACATGAAAAACACACAGCTGCTTCACATACCTGCTCACTGTGCACATAAAGATGACCATGCACTGGTCTGGCTGTGAGCAAACATACACTCACATCACAGACAGGAAGACAAAGCACACTCAACCACTTACACTCACTCACACACCCGCCCATCCTGGTGTGGCATCCACCTCCCACCTAAAGTCACTTAATCGCAGCAGAGTTTACTCTCATCAGATACCACCACACACTCACAGAGGGTTACACTGGTCCAGGATCCCCACCTCACACCCCACAGTCATCTCAGATACCACAGCCTCAGGGTTTCTCTTCCACACAACCACACCTCTCAGGAAAGCATTCGCAGTAGGAGTGCTCATATTTTCATCTCAGAAAATCTCCCCTGTTTCTTTCTTGGTTTATGTGACTTGAGATGGTTAAAGTCTGTGCCTTTTCAACTCACGGGTAGTGATGACATTGTTCTCTCCTTCTGGGTGACTCTTCGGAATTGTGTCCAGTCTTCTGTGTGAATCTCTGAGTGGGATCATTTAAATGCTGCAACTCAGAGATGCCCTCTGGCTTCATGCCAGATTCCAAGCCCCTCCCAGCAAGCTTTCCGTGTAGCAGGAGAAAGACTCAGATGTGCTGTTTGCTGTAAGGCAGTGGAAATGACAGTAGTGGAGGTACCAGGCTGTGGATTGGGTTACCAGGGATAGGATGATGGAGTGAGGGGTAGTGATTGTAAAGCTTCTCTTTGTGCCTCTCAAGCATTTTCTCCGCTGTGCAGAATCTAGCCAGAAGGTGTACATTCTCTCAATTTGTACAATGACTAAAAGTAAATTGGGAATTTTAGAAAAAGACGTTAGACCTAGAAGTCAATTCTCTTTGCATTTAAAGGTTCTGGGAGAGCCTTTGAAGGTCTGATCCTCCTGACCTTGATCCTCAAGAGAGAAGTAGAGAAAGTTAATGCATAAACCTGCCTCACAGTAGGCCCCTTGGCTCTGCCATGTGAGGGTCACTCTCATCTGTCTGTCACATACCTGGACTCTAACTACATTCTCTGCTTTGTCTTGGAGTCCATGTAAAACAAAGTTTCAGAGATACTGTTTCTCCTGTAGATTCTGGGAGAAAGGTGAGATTGGTTTTTTTTCTTTAATTTTTTTTTTTTTTTTTACTTTTATTATAGGGGTAGATATGCAGATAAAGTCATGTCATGAGGTTTGTGGTACATAAGATTTCTTCACCTGGGTACTAAGCATAGTACCCAATAGTTGTTTTTTCTGCTCCTATCCCACCTTTCACCCTCCACCGTAAAGTAGGCTTCTGTGTGTGTTGTTCCCCTGTTGGTGTCCCTGAGTCTCATCATTTAGTTCACAATTATAAGTGAGAACATGGAGTATTTGGCTTTCTGTTCCTGCATTATTTACTAAGATTCATGGCCTCCAGCTCCATCCATGTTCCTGCAAAAGACATGACCTCATTCTTTTTTTTTTTTTTTTTTTGAGACGGAGTCTCGCTCTGTCGCCCAGGCTGGAGTGCAGTGGCCGGATCTCAGCTCACTGCAAGCTCCGCCTCCCGGGTTCACGCCATTCTCCGGCCTCAGCCTCCCGAGTAGCTGGGACTACAGGCGCCCGCCACCTCGCCAGGCTAGTTTTTTGTATTTCTTAATAGAGACGGGGTTTCACCATGTTAGCCAGGATGGTCTTGATCTCCTGACCTCGTGATCCGCCCGTCTCGGCCTCCCAAAGTGCTGGGATTACAGGCTTGAGCCACCGCGCCTGGCCACCTCATTCTTTTTTAGGGCTTCATAGTATTCCATTGTGCATATGTATCACATTATCTGTATGTAATCTGTCCTTGATGGGCATTTGGGCTCATTCTGTAGGTCTTTGCTATTGTACATAGTGTTGAAAAGAACATTCATGTTCATATGTCTTTAAGGCAGAATCAGTTATATTCTTCTGTGTATACAATAGTGTATACACCTATCCCAGTAATGGGATTGCATTTTTCTAACGTTCAGGGATGTTGAGCTTCTTTTCATTTGCTTGTTGGCCACCTGTATGTCTTGTTTTGAAAACTGTCTATTAATGTTCTTGGTCTACTTTTTTTGAGACAGGATTTCACTACGACACCCAGGCAGAAGTGCAGTGGTGAAATCTCGACTAACTGCAACCTCTGCCTGGGCTCAGGCAATCCTCCCAGCTCAGCTTTCTAAGTAGCTGAGATTACAGGTGCTCGAGACAAGACTTGGCTAATTTTTCTATTTTTCATAGAGATGGGGTTTTGCCATGTTGCCAAAGCTGGTCTTGAACTTCTGGACTCAAGCAGTCCTCAGCCTCCCAAAGTGCTGGAATTACAAGCAAGAGCCACTGCTCCCAGCCCTTTGCCCATTTTTTATGGGGTTGTTTGTTCTTTTCTTGTAAAGTTGTTAAAGTTCCTTATAGATGTTAGATATTAGACAATTTTCAGATACATAATTTGCAAATATTTTCTCCTTTTCTGTAGGTTGTCTGTTGGTTCTGTTGATAGGTTCTGTTGCTGTGCAGAATCTTTTTAGTTTAAATTGATCAATTTGTCCGTTTTTCCTTTTCTTGTGATTGCCTTTCGCATCTTTGTCATGAATCTTTTGCCTATTCCTACATTCGGAATGGTATTGCCTTAGGTAGTCTTCCAGGATTTTTATAGTTTTGGGTTTCACATTTAAGTCTTTAACTCATCTTGAGTTAATTTTTCTATATAATCAAGAAAGTGGTTCAGGTTCGATCATCTGCACATGACTAGCTAATTATCCGAAAATTATTTCCTGAATAGGAATCTTTTTTCCATTGCTTGTTTGATCAACGTTGTCGAAAACCAGATGGCTGTAGGTGTGGGACCTTACTTCTTGTCTCTCTGTTCTGTTCCATTGGTCTATGTGTCTGTTTTTGTGCAAGTACTATGCTGTTAGGTTACTTCAAGCTATAGTACAGCTTGAAGTTGGGTAATGTG